CAGAAAAATTGATTTAAACCATTTTATTGTAATTTTAAATAAATTTGCAATCTGACGCTGTCAATGTCTTGTTGACTTTTTTTATTATTATTATTCATATTTTATTATTATTATTATTATAAATGTTTCGGAATGGAAAAAAATCCCAATGAGTTGATCTATCTAGGTGAATTAGCCCAACGAGAAACCACCGATATTATTAATAGATTAATGTTATATAAATTATATCGTGTGTAGGAGTTCGTCGACAGTGGAGACGCCGCCACCGGGCTACATGAGTGAAGACGGAGATCCCATGGACCACAATGACAACATGAGTGAGTTTGTAATCAACAATTTTATTATCTATATTATGGAAAATTAACCTATCTACCATTTATTCTAAGCATCAGTAAGGTCTTAATTAATTTTTCTTATAGGAAGAATGGATGAATGTATGTTTTAACCATATAACACCACAACGGCTGAATGGATTTAAATGATATTTGAAATAGAGATTGATCATCTTCTAAAAAATGCTACTAATGCATTTTTTTAAAATTTCAACACATGAAATCTTATTAAAAAGTTTTTATCTCAGGCCTGACACGCCTGACGCCATCACCGCCCGGATTGGCGACGGAGGCTGCGCCGGTGCTGTACCACGAGCCGGCCTTCTGGTGCAGCATCAGCTACTACGAGCTGAACACTCGCGTGGGGGAGACCTTCCACGCCTCGCAGCCATCCATCACAGTGGACGGCTTCACCGACCCAAGCAACAGTGAGAGGTAACTCATTTATCTTACTTGTATTGTAAAGGTGAGAGTTTCGATGGATGGATGTTTCTTAGAGTTTGTAGCCTAACTTTTCTGGATGGGTCTCGATGAAAATCAGTTGTAGGGGATAGTTTGGAAGAACACGTAGGCTATTTACATTTTTTTTTTAATTTCATTTGAACGGAGTCTCGGGTCAAAGATAATATACTAATATTATAAAGATAGAAGATTTTTATTCTTGTAATTATATGTATTGAAAAAACTCAAAAACTACTCGGGTGGTTTTAAAATTATTTCACTTTTAAAAAGTTACGTTATCATTGAGTAACATAGGTTTTATTTTTTATCCCACGCAAACGAAGTCGTTAGTTAAGCTAGGAAGAAATATGCTCGAAAACTACTAAATCGATTTCAAAAAATCTTTCGTCATTATCTCTGCGTAACATAGGATATTTTTAATACTTTTATAATTCCCCTCGAACGATGACGCCAAATAACATTTGGTTTTGTTTTCTTTTACAGATTCTGTTTGGGTTTGTTATCGAATGTGAATAGAAATGAAGTCGTGGAACAAACGCGACGGCACATCGGCAAAGGAGTCAGGCTGTATTACATTGGAGGTGAGAAAATAACCCTTGTTTTTAATTTATCCACACAAGAGAAAAAACTATATCAGCTTATAAGTCGCCAAACTGCATTTACATTGTAATAATTAAAATTAATCAATTTATAATGATTTTAACGTAATTTCATGTAATATTCCAGGCGAGGTGTTCGCAGAATGCCTCAGTGATTCTTCAATATTTGTTCAGTCTCCGAACTGTAACCAGCGTTATGGATGGCATCCTGCTACTGTTTGTAAAATACCACCCGGTAAGTTCACAATATTAACATATTATATATTACTAGCGTGTTACTCCGCGTGGAATTAACAAAAAAAAACAAAATCATAATTAATAGGCCATGCGCTCCTTCAGACTATCCTCTACATCTATGCTTCCATCAAGATTCGTTCAGTAGTTTAGATTACAAATTCTAATAAACATCCATTCCGCCTTTGCGTTTATAATATTAGTAAGATAAATCTTAACATTAAACACTAAAGTGTAATAATAAATCAATAGCTATATTTTGAATAGGAAAATCTTTGATTTAAGTAATTTAGAAGCCTAAATAATATCTACAAAAGATATATCCTCGATTAATTGTTAATACTAATGTTTGTGTACAGGTTGCAACCTGAAGATCTTCAACAACCAGGAGTTCGCGGCGCTGCTGTCGCAGTCCGTGTCGCAGGGCTTCGAGGCGGTGTTCCAGCTGACGCGCATGTGCACCATACGGATGAGCTTTGTCAAGGGATGGGGAGCCGAGTACAGGTATGGAATACCCCATAGGGAATTTTTCCACTAGCGTAATAGACGCATGACAGCTGTATCCGGCAGTTGTACTGTGACGTTATAGTAGAATTAGGGTCGGCAAATCTAATAATAATATATGCTTTAATGTCGCTTTCGACTACATTTTATAGAAGACTTTGCTTCTGTAGTAGGTTGCCGTGTGTCACAGTTGTTCATTACAACAATTCATTGCATTTTGATAGTGCTTTCGAAACTAATAGACAAAAAATATAGCCGATTTATAAATAAAATAATCGATAATAATGAGTGGATGTCTCAAGAAAATTTCAACAGTTTAAATGCGTGTAATAAGTATGATTAAAGGAATATAAACTTAGTTTAGATATGTTTGAAAGAATTATCATGTATTTTATTATGTATTTGTGTGACATTGTGCAGACGTCAGACGGTGACGTCGACGCCGTGCTGGATCGAGCTGCACCTGAACGGGCCGCTGCAGTGGCTGGACCGCGTGCTCACGCAGATGGGCAGCCCGCGCCTGCCCTGCTCCTCCATGTCATAGGTCAGTAACGCCCCATAACTCCCCCTCTCACCCACCACCTAACTCCCCCTCTCACCCACCACCTAACTCCCCTCTCGCCCACCCGTCCTAGTCACCACCTTTCCAGCCAACTTTTTGTTAGAAAGTGATAAGTTAGTTTATGCATAATGCATATGATGCCTAAAAAATTGTAATATTAAAATCAAGCTTCCCTAAAATTTGTTTTTTTTTTTTAAATGTACAACATCTGCAAAATTTGTTACTCATGGTAGTCTTTGTTTTTTCAGATATTGCGGCGGAAATTATTTCTGAATCCCCAGTACATTGGCCATTTCAGTTGTATGAAATATAAAGGGTAGCTCAAAAACAAATACCTCCAAAATGAGTCTTAACATTGTTTTATTGTAGTTTATAAGTTGGAAATATGTTTCATCTTAGAATTTAAGACGCGATTTATTTTATTATCTATAAGGAATTCAAAATTAATGGACTATTTCACATTTGTGATAAAAAAAACTGTATATTCAAATCAAATCGATTTTTAGGTGTTTAAAAGCTTTTTTAATGTTTTTATGATATATATATGTTTTTTGTTTAATATATAAAATAAAATTACTAGTCCACGACAAACATTTTAGGGAATAAGTTTGCCTCAATAAGAGGATTTAATTTTGTCATTTTATGTAATGCTACATAAAAAAAATGAATAAAAAACAATGGCCCTTTGTAGGCAACCCTATTTCGAACTATATACTCATATTAAAAAAAAAAGTTTGTCGTGACTTCACAATGAAATGCCTATGTTTTAAAACATGTAAATAATCTGCTTTTTTAATATTGCCATTGTATAAGCATTTACATTTTTATAGAGAATTGTTACAGTCACTACAGTAATTAGATTTTTATATCTTATAGTTTTAAACGCATTATAATATACAATATGTAGGCTTCTTTTTTGTTCACTAGTTTGCGAACATAAGGTATATGCTTAGGTTAAGTGATGTAGGGTTGCCAAATAAACCATTAAATGGTATTGCCGTTTACTAACAGTAAGCCGTAAATGTTTGTTTCTCGAAAAAAGTCTTTGATTGTCAAAGTAAAGATCTAGTTTTATTGTAATTTCGAAATAAAAAAATCGATTTATGGCAACCCTACTTTTAATGTTAGAATACAATGTCTGTACTGCAGATTATGGAAGCGTTTGTGGATATTTCTTCAAAAATATTAATCAATTTAAAATTGGCTAAAGTTAAAAGTAAATTTATCGTCATTGCCAAGAGTTATGGGAAAATTATGACGTTGGTAAGAAAGTAACTAATGAAAAGTGTAAAAAATGTAAACATCATACAAAATCACGCATTTTCGAGACAAGCTATATTTTTTTTAAAATAATTTTTCTCAGCTTTTGGCCATAGTATTTTATGATCTTGTAATTTACGGGTTTTATAGCTTTTTTTGTGGTTAATTTCCATAATTCTTGGCAATAAAAATGATTGTTGTAACCCAGTAGTGATGCACTTATATTATCTGTGGGGGAAACTAAATTGATATTAAGAAAGAGAGGTTATTTTGGAAACGTTTTACGATAGAAAGAGATAAAAGAGTATTAGTGTTGGAATGTTGGTAATGACGAAACGTCTATGGGCAGGCATTAAGTGTTTAGTGTCGCCATCTTTTTGAGTATATTTTTTTAAAATTCTAATATAATTGTGCTAATGGGAATAAAAACCTTCCTTTCACCTATTGCCTTAAGATTTGTTAATTTTTACTAATACCTTTTTTAGTATTTATGTCTAATTTTTATAACTCGTGTATACAAAAACAGACAAATCCAAAAAATTTAACTACAAAGTAACTATAGATTGTTAATTTCACAGTAATATTAATTTTTTATGCTGTAGTTTCGTGGGTTTTTTTATATTTCATGCAATGTCAATCATCAATGCATGTTAAAGTAACAACCTTACAAATAAACGCGGTATAAAGTTAAAATTCGAAAAATACTGAGTATAAACAAATATTAGTACAAATTTTGCTTATACTTAGTTTATTCCTAAGGCTATATGTATTTTGATTATTTTGTTTATTCAATGTTTATATCCTGACTGAATACGTAATTAACTTCCACTGCCGACTGTGACTTTATTTAACCCTGGGTTTTCATTGTAGAGACCTCTGTATAATTAAATTCAGTACGAATGAGAAATTTACCCATCTGAATAGTTTTTAACTTTTTTCCTATATCTGTATTTATGGACTTATTAAAAACAGACATTTGTGTCATGAATTTTAAACTTCTTAATATCTCCATAGACAATAATTGATATTGACAATGGACATTTCCATAGATTAGATACTAGATAGGCGATTGTTTAAATAACAGTTTTTTTTTTGTTCTGATTTAAAATTGTCTTTTGATGCTGAGAGCTATATGTACTATTAGCCCGACAATTTTTCACCGCAAGCAAATAAACAAAATAGATTATAACCTGTCCATTTATAGAGGTCAATGATAATTTCTCATTCCTATTGAATTTGACAATACATGTTGCAGTGAAAATTGAATGAAATGCACTTGTAAATGTAATTACTAGTCATTGCCGGATGTTTTTAAAGAAAGAAAGGTATAGCATTCTCGAGAAGGGATAATATCATGGTGCGGTGCTATTTGATGGAAGTCGATGTGGTCAGGGATGTCGTGAGATCGCTCTTGATTATGTAAAATGAAGATATAATATACTGCATAAGTATGTTTATTGGTACATAATAACATAGATTTTAATTCTATCTATATGTACTAATTATGTGAATTTATTGTATGGTAATTTGGGTATATCGGTTTAATCCAGTGAACAGATCTGGGGTTTAGGTAGAGTTGGGCCGCCCAGGGCGTCAATCATAAAGAGGTTACAGGAAACCCTTTTTTATATGGGATTGTATTGAAAGGTATTAACACAGGACGCCGGTAATATCCAGGGAAAAAAATTTTACATTAAAAACCGACGAGATGTTTTACTCTGGGGCTTAGTGAATCCAAATGAATATACCCTTTCTATGTCCTTAAATTCTGACATCGGCCTACACATCCTTGTTTAACTATATCTTCATTTTGCAAGTAAATGTTTTAAATTGTAATTTTGTACAGATTCGCCTATATTGGTGGTATTTCAGGGGTAGTCAACTTTGATAAGTATAATTTTGTTATGAAATGCACATTTTAGATGCGACATAAAGGTGGGTAGTTCGCAAAAATTAAACCTTTTCGTACCCCAGGTATATTTATACCTGGGGATTCAAAAATGGTAAGGTCCATTTTTTTCTGTGTTATATTGTTTCATTTATTACATTAGAAATAAGTTATAATGTAATGTAATATCTGGAATTAAATATGTTGTTTTTTATTGCACAATTAGAGTTGTATGTTCAGTTTTGTTATTGGAAATCTATTACATATGAAAAGCAGAATTTTATTTGAAATGTATTCGGCTTATGAAATATTTTATATGGCAATACTCCATGCGTGTTATATCGGCTTGAATTTGTTGTTATTTTATCTTTTAACCACTGTTATTTTTACTGATAATACGATATTTTATAGGTGCATATATTACCATTTACAGTATGTTATATACAATTGGTTTCACATACGATTATGTTAGTAGTGTATAAGTTTTTTTGGCGGCGAGTGTACCGGAGAGGGAGATTTGAAATGTGGCTTCCATTGCGTTACGATTTATTTTGCTGTTGGCGATCTCACGCGTCGAGTGGGAGTTTGTAGAAATTATAAAACCTGCAATAAACATGTGTGGTTTGTATAAGGTTGTTTTATTGCTACCAATACTCCTTGGTTTTTCACATTTTACACGAATTATACAGGAAACCTAAATTATAAAGCTAAAAGTAAGCGTCAAATAAATCTCAATTATTACTACTGTGCCGAACAAGGAGGGTTCGAGTCCCGCAGCACAAGCCACCCTGAACCTACACACCGGAGGGCATAATATAAAAGAGTACTATACCGAACAAATGCAATAAAAAGAAATGCGTAGTTAATGGAGACTTGTAAATACAAGTAACCACAGAAACTGTCACCTTACTGAATCAAAAAGTTCAATGTTAGAATAAAGGGGTGAACTCATTAGGCGATTCACTACATTAAATTAAATGTGGCAAATCACGTGAAGAAAGAATGTACAAAATAAAAGAAGGGTTTGGATTTTTCATTTTATTTAAACCAAAAGAAAACAATACGTCAATAGACAAAACAATCAGGCCTGAATAGAATTGATTCCGGGTTCCCATTTGTAGCTGTTGAAGCCGGCGCGGCTTCGCTTCACCGTCTCTCCCATCACCGACGGATTCTTCACAGACTCCGATGAAGAGTAATATATAATGTTAGTAGACGGGTCGTAGCTCATAGCCGACTTCTCTTCTGAGGTGAAACGAGTGAAAGTAGACGATGTGTTGACGCGATGTAAAGTCGAATAGCTCTTGTTAGCGAGCACGGAGACTGGCTCCTCGTCGTCCGAGTTATCTTGGTAGTGCGGGATCGGCGGACCGGGCGGGCTCGGCTGAGCGGGCGGACT